CTCTCAGGCGTAGCCAACACAATCTTTCCGATATACGTTTAAATTCTAGTATCGTGTCTTTTAGCTTTACGTTTATTAGAAATCCTGTCCCAAAAAGTCTATTTGCACCACCGCTATTACAAAATACGAAATTTTCGCTGTGATATTCCTGTTTCTTCAAGTTTCGTTTCTTGAAGAGCTAGAAGGGGTAATTTATATACGATCATTCTGTTGTCTAAGTTTTTCGGTGAACCAGCTTCGTAGATACTTTTGACATTCCAAGTTGCAATTCTTATTTGCTATTCTTTAAATTCATACATACTTAACGTCTGATTTCTCTCGTTATTTTTATTCCTGTTCCTTACCTGTTCCATTGTCATAGCCACATTTTCTGTCGTCTCCAAGCTATCCTTTTCTCTATACATTAGTAGTTTTTTTGTATCAATGTGTCTGGTTTCAACAGATTGTCTTTTTTATCCCATCTCCATTTTTCTCCACTAATCAGCAAGTTAATATAACCGATTTTGACTGTATTTCCTTTTGTTCTCTCCGGTTTAGCTCTGTCTTTTATATGGATTTGAATCATCATCTCATTTTTTGTCAAATCACTGTTTATGTACCTTATCTTTGGCTTTCATTTTAGCATCAAAACTCTGCAACTCTGCCACATAGAGGTTCTCTTTTATTTTTTGGGTGGACTGAGTATCTGCCTCTAGAGACAGCCTGGTTTTCAGAAAGTTTTCTATTGATTGCTTTAAATCCTCGTGATTTCTTGTCTCTGGGCTTAAACCCGACATAGTATGTTATGTTAATATCCTCTTTTAGAAGTGCCTCTCTGAGTGCGCAATAGAAATTGGAGCATCCCATTGAAAGAAATTGACAGATTCCAAGATTCCTTAATGGAGTATGCCATTCATGATTACATGTTCAAATACAAATAGATCGTTCTAAGATAATTGGAATGATATCACAGACAAAAGCTGTGTTCGAACAGCTGTCGTCAACCTACCAGTGTTCATGTCCGAGGTCCCGCCACACAAATTCCGTTTATTCTGCTACACTATATAGACGGAATTCACACGGCCGGATCCCAGACACAGTAGCAGATAAGTCACCGACCACTGTACGAACAAACCGTATAACGTTCTGATAATCAGTTATTCAACTGCTTCTTTTACGCTCAAATTCGTGTAATTATTATTTTCTTGAATGAAGTTTGTGCCCGTCTACCGAGAAAAAAACACTGCAGCTTACTGTGTATCCAATTCCTGTATAATATTTGTTCAAACTAGTCTATAATTTGATGTTTTTTAATAGTTTTATAGTATCAAAGCATACGTCCATGTTACAAATAGAAAAGTATCGAAAATGTCACTTTCTTGTCCTGTGCAGTTCCTCCTATGTTATTTCTTCTATATAAAAAACCAAATAACAGATTTCTGGATACATATATACAAATATAAGGCATCCAGCTAAATTATGCAGTCATTTATCATTGGTGCAGGAACGAGTCAATACTATTTTTTAAGGTTTATGTAACATGTAACAATTACCATCGTGGATAAACATATTGGATACTGCTGTAATTCATGAAAACCGTTTATAGGAGTTCCGATTGGGCGTATTCATCATCGATAAGTGACCGATGGTCCGAAAATAATGTCGGAGCGGTAAGGCGAAAAGTTCGGGTTTTTCAAAATTGGCAAGCAAATGTCACTTTTATGGATATAATACAAAATAGTGTTACCCAATTACGTGTTTACAAGTGATTTGGAATCATAGGTGATTCCGCCCATATTCTCACCTAGATATTTTGAGTAAAGAGTTAATTTAAAAACCGAAGTTTGTTTTGAAAGTATCACCTACATGGATTACCTTCCGTGGGAGAAATCCACGGGGGTGACAAATCTATGGAAGTGATATCAATATTGCACTTACATATTTGTATAACCAGATCATTCTAGAGCCTAGGCTGACATTGATCTTACATTTGTGCTTATACAAGCGTCCTACACTTGGCTTTTTCAGCCTTAAAGGCCATCTTCATTTCTACAATGGCCACCGACGGTAACTTCGATATTTACTTAATTATTATGGAACCTAAAATCATTCTAGCTCGGCCTATATTTTCAACTTCAGATCCAATATTCAAATTAAACATTCTTTGTTTTTGATAATTTCGAGGATAATGTTGAGCCTCTTGATGAGAATCGTCCATTCATGAACAAGTTCTTTAACTCATAATTTTGGAGCTTGCTAGCTTAAACCCTCCAAAAAGCAGGTTGGGGGGCTTCATTTTCAAGTGCAAAGGTTTGCATTATTTGAAGAATTTGTTACTGTTACTAAAACTTCATATGTAAGCATCACAGGGGCGGATTACAATCACTTGAAAAATTTCATATTCATTGTTGGTACATTTGACTTTTGTATCCCAAAATTACTCCCTGTTATAAAGGTGGTAACTCGCAATAAACTGAATAAAACGGAAAGTGTAGGTAGTGAAAATATGAACGATCTAGCTCAGAAAGTAATGCAACAGCAACATATAATACGAAACTGTACTTTTTCGCAAAAATATAGTTTTCCGATTATAATGGAGAAGACACGAACACAAGACATTATGTAAAACCCAATTTAGACGTCCGGCATATAAAAGTTGTGAGCAAATAAAAAACAGCAGTCTCTTTCAGGAGAGTTTGCTTGTCTTTAATATAATGAGAAAAGTTACGTCATCTGCATCAAATAGACGCAGAGCTTACAGGAAGTTGTTCAGGAGGCACAGAGACGTGACCTGGCATAGGGTCTGCCTATTCAATGCTTGACGCGTAAAGGGGTGTTGTACGTTTGTTTGTTCCAAATTCTACATAGAGACCTCGGAAACGGTAAGAAATACGTAGTCGATTGAGGGCAAAATTGGGCATTTAAGCGATTAAGAATTCGCAATATCGAGTATATCCGGCGATAAAAGAAACCCAATTTCAACAAAATCTTTTTTATTTTTTGACGAATTTATTTGAGAAATGATTTTAAAATAAAAAGTAACTTTTCCTCCTCTACGAGATGGCTCAATTGAAATTTAAATATGACGTCTCATCTCTTTTTCTCAATCATCAACCGTATATTTTTTTTTGTGGCCACATTGAATTCTTGCTCAGGTGAATAGTTTCCAATTCTGATTCTAAAAATGTACAATATGTCATACAATGACATTGCCGAACCTTATTTAAAAAAACTGAATTTGCTAAGTAGGATTTGAAATTATTAGATAGTCATCCTTATCATATCATCAGCCATGCATTCATTCAGTTTTTATAAGCTAAGCATAGGTTTTAATAATGTGATTTCTATTAGAAAACATAAAATGTCTAAAAATGCAATTTTACAATGGTTGTCCTAGCTCCTCGAATAAAGGACGACCTAATGATAAAACTTTCTTATATTACTCAATAGTCGTACTGAAAATATTGAACAGTATTATTTTTGTAAACGATGCAAAGATTTTGGAGCAAATAAAGGGCTCAACAATGTAGCAACTCATAAGCACATTTTATATCTGCCATACCTAAGCCGATTCATTACAATGCATTTAAATATTATTATTCTACGGCCGAGGCGTCATGCCGTATTAAATTCACGCTTGTTATAGTCGATAAATGAAAAAATTAAATATGGGAACAAAAAATGAAGTCGATGATTGAGGATAAGAGACGAAACATTATACTGAATGAAGCATCGAAGCTCTCCAACGGAGGTACCAATTTGTATGTTTAGATGGTTCTTGACGAGAGATAATCTTTAGCTGTTTGAAAGTAATGGGGGTGAACGTGGAGTGAGCAACCCAAAGTATGTGTCAAAACGATATCCATTTGGATTTTTCTTAATTTAACAGGAAATAACTTATGTCATTAGTTTTTATTTTCCCTGTGACGCGTGATCAGGCATGTGCCGCTCCCACGTCACATCAGTCCAATATAAATATGAACTTATCAAAGAAATAGGAGATTTGATTAAATTCAGAAAAGCACATATTAAAACTTCAGGGGTATATTTTTTCGATTATTCTAAGAGTGCGACCAACAGGGGCTTTCGGGATCAGCCACTCAAACTTGTTATTTTTGAATTATGTTTACTCAAAAAAATGTACTAACTCTCCACCGGATTCAGTTATTTTTTTAGCCATATTCCTGAAAATTTAGCACAAACTATTCAAATAAAACGCTTTATTAAAACTACAAACTGCCATTTACGTGTACCTTTCAACTGAAAAGTTATTAGGATTGTAGAAAAAATGAATTAAAAAAAGATTCCCATTTGCTGCATTACTATGCTTAAACATAACCACTAGTGTGGTTTCAATGCTGATAGAATTCTGTTCTTCTGGCCACATATGCAGAAATTATTCATTTCAGACACCAGTTGTACTATGTTTATATGAACTTTTTCAAATAGATCTTACCCTGAGTTTGACTATGTGCTTTATCTATAATCTGCATTTTAGTCTTTCATACTGAGCGGCTATCAGCTATACTCGGGTACCAAAAAGGATGAGAGTTGAATATAACTTTGTACGGCCCTGCTAGCGCGGCGTGTCTTTGAATCGGCATATTCGGTGCGCGCGGGTTCCGAAAAGACACGCTGCACTAACAATGGCATAAGATGTTTTACTACTCTCATCCATTTAGGACCAGACTATAGCACTGATTTTGTGTTGTTACATTCTATACCCCACATATAAACATGAGTAAACCATAATTCTCTTCATCAGTTACAAGGCAACAGATAGTACTTCTATTTTATATTAAAAGGAAAAGTATATCGATGTAGTAACTTACTTGATGTTAGAAAGTATTGTAGCACCGAAAATAGAGACGGATCTCGACTATTACGCTTGGAATATATGGTTAAATGTTACGTAACACGGAGATAACTAGTGAGATACATCTTCTAAAACAAAGACTTTAATACTCATTATTTGTCCACATCCTAAAGGAACACCATCACCGAATGCATATAATACCTACCTCAAGCAACCCCTAGGGCTCTCGCGTCGAATGTCGCTACGCAGTTATATAATATTCTTCTCTACGTGCGACGTGTTTCTCTCTCCTGACGATGTTGTAGCCGACATGAAAGAGAAAATCAATAATCAAACAGTGCAATATGACCCTTAACTAACCTATTCAACAAAATCTAATTGTTCCTGTATCTGGGTTTGATTTCTGCATCGGAGGGGTTTACCATTCGACTGGCTTTTAATTTTCTTTTAGGCGTCTACTTCTTCTTAGTTTCTCCGTTTTCGTATTTGAAATGACATTTTATAGTCTAAGAATCGTTGAGGGAAAATTGTAACGGGACAAAATATTTGGTCCAAATTTGTCGGTATACTCCGCAGGAATATGGGTCATAAGAGAAAAAAGTCAGGCATCTGTTTTTTTCAGTGAACACATCCAAGGTGTAGCGCACAAATGTGGTAAGACCAAAATGCTACTTTTGCCCTACACAATAAAATAACTTTGTCTCAAAAGTAAAATGGATTAGCGTCTTACTCGTATCACTGAAGAAATGAACATTTAGGTTGGCAATTCGAACATTTCTTTGAAGATTACATACTTTTTAATCAGGGGACACTTTACAACCAAAAAAAAAAGATTTATTTGTCATCACTCAAGACATTCGTACCATATTGCAGTGTTACTTAACACATGATTTCCTTAGGGTTCATCTGCGCGGCTGCTTCGGTGTAAAAAAATGAAACCCAAAAACCTTAATTCTGTAGAGGAAACAGTGCCACAATTCAACAGAAACAAGTTTTTGTAACATTTTCAGCTGAGCAAGTGGCAGAAGAAATTTTAATGAAATTCCATTTTAAATATCAGCTAGCACCAAAGTGCTTCGTGCTCAATATTTTGTTTATTGACCCGGTAATGGCAAAATGAAGATTATGATTGCAGTACATAACATAACTTTCAAGAACCATGATTAATACCTACCATTTTTGCGATCACTAATCTTTTGAAAATTTTTGTTACAGTTGCAAAATGCGTAATTACGCGATTTAAGTCTTACTTTTATGTATTTTCGTAGTCTCAGTTCTTTTTGTCCACGTTCGTTGAGAACTCTGTGAAACTTTTAGCTATGTAAGCAGATCTTGATAATTCCAGTTATTTTCACTTCTTTCTTCTAGTAAGTCAGCATATACAGGGTGTTTCTAATTTGGCACTCACCATTGGGATCTTGGAAACTGTAAGAGATACGAAGTCGCTTGAATAGGGTAGTCAACAAAGTGACAGTTAGAAGGTTTCTAAATTCAAAGTACTTCCGTAGAGTAACGAAAAAACTGAATTTTACCAAAATTGTTCTGATTTTTTCCTGACTATTTATATTGGGATTTTAAAATAAATTGCTCATTAACAGTGCTACGTTTTCTCCTCTACAAGAAGGCATAGTCAGAATTTCTATGTGACGGTTCGTCTCTTGTCGTCCAGAATCAACTTTGTTATTTCCTAAGGACGCTATATTGCATTTTTGCACAGATGAATAGAGTTTTTAATTTTGATTAAAAAAATTCACAATACGTCATACATTGACGTTGTCAAACCTTGATTACTTTAATAATAACGGAATTTCTTAGGTAGGCCTTGAAATTATCAGATGTTTGTTTCACTCACCAGATTTATCCTAAAACCGCTCTATTTTTCCCGACCCTATTCGAGATGGGATTTCAAAATAAATTGCATATTGTCATTGTTTCTTATTCTCGTCTGCAAGATGCCGTAGTCAAATTTTCAATTCGACATTTCTTCTTTCGACTTCCATCATTAAATTTGTTTTTTCATACGGATACTAAATTGGATTTTTGTACATTTAATTGTACCTTTTAAGCTCTAAATTCAGTGATTGTTAGTTGACGATAAATTTGTTGTTGGATGAAAATTAAAAGGAGATAAAAAATATGATGAAACCTGAATACGAAATGAAAATTTTATTGGTGGTAATAACAATAATAACCATAATTAAGCAGAGATATTCGCAGTCTTCCAAACTCTGTTGCTATGCAGACAAATGAAATCTAATAATTTAAGGCCTACCTAGGAACTTCTGGAATAACTAAGGCTTTGCAATGCCAATGTATGACATACATGTTTTTGAATCAGAATAAAAATTCTATTCATGTGTGTAAGAGTCCAATATGGCGTCTATGAGAAAAAATTAAATTGATGCCGGAAGGCAAGAGACGAAACGTCACATTGAAATTCTAATAGTGCCGTCTTGTAGAGGAGAAAATATGGCAGAGTTCGTGTGCAATTTATTTCGAAATCTCAGCACAAATAAAGTCAGGAGAAAATCAAAACCATTTTGGGAAATTTCATTTTCTACGTCTCTTTCCGGAAGTACTTTCAATTTCAAAACTTTCTAAGTGACATTTTGCTGATTATCTGAATGCGCAACTTTGCCCTATTTAAGTAACTTCGTATCTCTTGAAGTTTCCGAGATCCCAATGGTGAGGGTCGAATTTAAAATACCCTGTATACGGAAAATATTATTTTCACCCCAGCACAAACAGTCACTCCCTCTCCATGGACACCCGTGAGAAAAAGCTGTATCACAAAATCTCCAGAATTCGTTATTTTGTTTATTTTTTCATCAGCTTTGGGTTGGACTTACATATCTAGAATATACAAATACTGTTTGGGCATACACTTCGAGGCTGGGCGACAAGAGAACAGGGAACAAAAACCCTACAATCCAAGTTTTATTAAAAGTCATTCACAATACTTTGTACATTTCTCATGCATAATCACTGCAGACGTTTATTCAGAATTCTTACTATGTATTTACTTCTTCAACTTGTCATTGGATGTGTGGAATTATATTTCTTCGAATTTATTTTTATACTTTATATATGAGAATTGAATGGTAATTACTGAGTAAATCTACTTGACATTTTTGGGTGCTGTTATTTTTTATAGAAAGTGTCCATGTTTTCCTCTCTAAAGGAAAATTCGGGCGGGCATATTAGGACAGTTGGACGAAAAATCCTAGATCATTCTGGTTTACAGCAAATGAACCCCGAACTTTTTCAAAATTGTCTACCCCATTCTGAAAAATTTTACATTCGAATAATGATGGTACTTTCGAGCTCTGACAATTTACTGGAAAATTATCTGCTGACTGATTTGACAGTCATCAAACGGTCAGAAGTTTCTGTACGAACCTCTCTCAGCCAACTCGTAACGTGCTCATGTACGCAATTAGTACAGTCAGCGACGTGTCAGTGACAGCTAGCTGCGTAAACTAGGTCATATGACTTGTCGCCGACTATCAGTTTGCTGATTATCAGCAAAGAGGCTGTACGAACAAACCATCAGTCTAAAACTGGCCACTGCTTACTTGCTGAAGATCCCTAGGTAAAATCCTACCTGTAACTAGCCTGACATACCTTCCAGTTTGCCCTAGAGGTGCAGGCCGTGTTCACGCCGTGATGTAGTACTCCCTGCGTTCGATGCATTTCTCCCTCATGATGTAACATAGAGCTATAGTGATAAGCACTGCTATCGCGATGCCCATACCAATGCTGACCCATATGATTTCTTCGTTGATGCCCTGATAAGATCTCCCTGCAAGCAAACGCGTTATTGGCACAAAAGTTCAACCTCATTCAAGCGTTTTTCAAATACAAAAATGCCGGCAGAAATCCTCATAAGATAACATTTCGTGCAAGAAAGTCTTGTTCTTATAACTCAGCAGAGAATGCAGCAATATGCCCGTATGGGCAATTCGCATGTTTTTCGGACTGTTCGTGGACACTAAAGAACGAAATTCAATAACGTCAATTACTGATTATCCATTATGACAAGTTCGCTTAGGTAATGGTCAAAACTGCTTCTGCTGTAGTCAGCCGTGAAGCCAGTAAACACATAAGCAACATATTTAACTGATGAAGAGCAAAATCGGTCTAATTCCTAGATGTAAACATAATCATATACACCTTGGGAAAAACCATTGTTATACATGGGAAATCATTTCTTGGCAACAGCGCATCGGCTCGTCTACTTTCATCGCTATTCGTACATATTTCCTACCGTTAACCGCAGACCTGTATCACGAATGAGAATAATAGGCAGATACGCTGTGTTGCCAATTTGAGTAGAGCTTCCCGAATTGTGGGGAATTTAGAGTTAAGTGTTGATTCATTCAAGCTTTTAATCACCATGGCCTAGACGTTAGAACTTCATAAAGATAACATTGAAGCTGAATGCTGCTGGAGTATAGTGTTTCGAATATTCAAAGCGGAGCGGGACTATACTCGTTCAATGGGTCATCAAGCCACAGTCTTTTCAACAAAGAAATTATTTTACGAAAATGTGTTATATTTTTACGATTTTGTCGTCACCAAATCTCTGTTTCTCAAAATGTACGTCTATTGTAGAATTTTCAGCAAACTAAGCAAGAAACGTGATCTAGTATTTACTCAACATTACGGATTTCTCGAAATACATTAAAAAATGTGACCTAGATACCTAACAGCCCCACGCTCTTTAAATATAACACCTTAAACCAGGGTTACCAGGTGCTCAGTCACGTTGATTGTCATGTTGTACTGCGCAAGTCAGCAAACAATCTGACGTAATAAACGTTAGGAATCATCAGGTATTGCCAGATTCCCGAATACCGGGCACCCTAGTAACCGTTATAGTTGTCCTTCAAAGTTGTCAAATTCGCCACACCAGGCAACTGTGCTATAAACAAACCCTGTTTATCACTACTATTTGATAGTCATATGGTAGTTGTAGCCCTATCTAGCGGTCCATGATTTCTCTCAATACTGTTGCATCTCTACTGGCAACAAGAATAGGGATTACAAAATCATTTATACAACAATATACAAACATGAAAAATATGATTTGAACCATGAAACATTAATACAATTTTAATAGTTTGAACTTTTTTCATTTTTGGAATACTCTTATGTGGAATCCGCAGCTATTTTTCCCGAAATTTGGGTAGACTTAGATTTCTTAGAAATATGACATATTGGTATCGGCAACTCTGCGAATGGGAGAAACAAATCGCATTTGTTGAGTGCATCCGTCTAAGCGGTAGGCGCCAGCGCCTGTTCTGCCATCTCTCTTTTATCACTCTTCTACCTTACCCCGTTGTCCGTCACACTCCAACGCTGCCAGATAAGATCCTACAATCGAGTGTCTTTCACGCACCTACATACTTTTGTATGTTTCCATCTCTCTTCCTCATCATAATGTATAATAATGGTTTTTCCCAAGGTGTATGTACAATCACCCAATTGCATAAAATAGTTGAAAAAAAAAACAACAGCAAAAGATATTCATAGTGAATAAAAGACAACTAAGATAATAACTTTTTTTTATATTCCAACTACCACGAAGGGCTAAACACCCATGGGGTACCGTGGGGCTATAGGGGAATACAGGGACAAGGGGGACGACTAAAGGACTCTGGCGAGGGAACACGTGTGTATGCACCATGAACACATTCTGCCCCCCCCTACAAGATCCACCGGGTGGTACCTCTGCGTTAGACAGTCAGAGACCATCTAACACCTACGGACAATCACAACATCCATTACAAGAGAAAAATTTCTCTTGGGACGGGATTCGAACCCGCACAACGCGCGGCGACTGATCAGGCGACCGAAGAGTCTACTACTGCTGCCTAAATTGGCAGAATATTTTCACCTCTATAGGGTGATTCACAACTACGTGGAGACCCAAACATACATTTTTCAAATGAAAATACCTACATTTTATTTCAGCTTTGTATAGGTCCTATTGTGGAGCTATTGTACAATTTATCGACAAACCACTCAACTTCAACAATTAGCATCTCCTCAACTGTTGACTATCATTTTCAGTTTCAAGTTTTTTTTTTATTTGAGGTTTTTGGGGTTTTGTGCGACTGGTTTTTGAGTTACGGCTAACCTTTTTGTATACCTCATATCAAAGTAAATGAAAAATATCACATTACATTCCTAAATTGTATTTTTTCCTCAATAAACATTATTATATCATATATTTCAAAATAAAAAATAACATTTAGCTGGTAACGGCAGATTGTTAGATTATTAGGATTAATGTATTTTAATTATGAATTAAGTCAATCCAATCTTACGCTATAAAGTCGAAAAGTCAAGAAGGTGTCCCTGTTTTTAATAACTCAAAAACCATTCATACATATCCTTCTAAAACCGTATATCAGAAAAAATCTTGTGAAGAGGGGAATCAAAGAATGTGAAAATGTATAAGGGTGTTACATTTAAAATTTATTTAAAATAGTTCGTTTTGCGTCTTGACCACTGTGTACAAACTATCAAAAAAACTGATGAAGAAGTAAACAGGGAGGAAATATGGGACCATCAAATTTTCTGATGAAAATTCAGTACTCTAACTATAATTTTTGCGGAGAAGCGAGTTGTCAAAATTGAGTATTATTTCTTTCTGTTTCGTCAACAATTCGAACATCAAACCATATAGTACCTTATATAATCTATGGTTAATACATATCTAATCAGTATAAAAACAAATTTATAGAACTTTTGAGAAAAGCAAAAAAAAATTACTATATAAAACAATTGAATAATAATTCACATGACTCTAGACACCTATGGTCCACTGTCAATGATATATTCAATAAGTCATCCTATTAAAAAAACAATATTAATGAAATAAAAACAAAAACAGGACAGAAAACAGACAATATTCAGCAAATATGTGATGAGTTCATAGAATTTTTCACGAATATAGGAGGAAACTTAGCAAATAATATCAAACAAAATGCTGATATTCATCTGCATGAAACAAGACTGAATAATTCATTTGTATTAACTGAAGTAGACTATCAGGATGTTTTCAATGCCATTATGACTCTAAAAAATAAAAAAAGCCCTGGAGTTGACGAAATTAGAGCTGAACATCTAAAGATACTGGCCAAACAAATAACAGAACCACTTGCTTATATCATTAACAAATCCTTCCAATCTGGAGTATTTCCATCAGCTTTCAAGACAGCAATCATCATACCTATCTATAAATCTAATGATAATACGGACGTCACTAACTATCGACCTATTTCACTTATATCAAGTTTAGCTAAAGTTTTTGAGAAATTACTCCTTAATAAAATGATTAATTTTCTTAATAAATTCAAAATTCTAAATTCAAATCAATATGGTTTTATAGCGGGCAAATCTACAACAGATGGGGTATTAAGTATAGTAGATGAAATAACCCAAAATATAGATGGAAAAGTACCATCGATATGCGTATTTGTGGACTTACAAAAAGCGTTTGACACAGTTAACCGCAATATACTTTTGGAAATCTTAGAAAGAATAGGTTTTCGTGGAAAGATGTATACTTTAGTGGAAAATTATTTATCAAATAGACCGCAATCAGTAAAATTATTAAGCTCGTATAGTAAAGAAATGTTTGTTGAATGTGGTGTTCCACAAGGTACAATTTTGGGTCCTCTGTTATTCAATATTTATTTAAACGATATATTCAAAATTAACAGTACTGGTAAAATAGTCAGTTTTGCAGACGATACTGCTATACTCTATAAAGGTAAGGATTGGAACGACTTAAAAGATATTATCCAAAATGACTTTTGCAAAATTATTCAGTGGTTTAATAACCGAAAATTAACAATTAACTTTACTAAAACTCATTTTTTACCATTTTCATCACTATCTAATCATCTACCAAAATATAACCACCTTCGGTTTAAGGTAAATGATAAAAATATAAAAATCAATAGAGTTAATGATACAAAATATTTAGGAATTTATCTAGATCCCCACTTGAGATGGGATGTACATATTTCTCACATACTAAAGAAAATTAGATTCATAGCATATAAAATAAAATTTCTAACCGGTATATTAACTGAATATTATCTACGAATAATATATCAAGCTTTAGTCGAGCCACACATAACATATGGTATAGTAGTGTGGGGTGCTGCATGCACGACATACTTTAACGATTTAGATGTACTTCAAAGAAGAATTTTAAAATCAATGTTAGGCAAATCAAAATTATACCCAACTAATGACTTATATAATGATGTACAAGTATATGATACTAAACAACTTTACTTCTTACATACCATCACTCATTATCACAAAACTATTAGTGAACACGACATAATTAAACATAATCATAAAACCAGATATAAATTACGCGCAAAAAATGTTCCTAAACCAAACAAATCCCTAATGAAACGATGTCACCTGTATATAGCTCCAAAATTGTATGAACATTTACCAAATAATTTAAAACAATTACGCAATACATTAGGCTTCAAAAAAAAATTAAAAAAATTTATTAACACGATTGGGAGAAATCAAATTAATAAAATAATCTCAAATATTACACAATAAATGCTCTACCATTCTTACCAATAATTTCTTTTTTCTCTCTATTTTATTATATTTTACAATTCAAAATACATATGATCCATGCACAGGCGTTGTCCTCCTATGGATATATTATATTTATTTACTCGTTTCATGTTCCCTGTATTTTAGAGTAAATAAATATTATTATTATTATTATTATTATTATTATTATTATTATTATTA